ATGATCGATTTAATGCAAAAGAATTTCAAACAATTCATTGGTTTGGGATTTAATTTATATAAAGTAGAAGTGAACAGAAATTTTAAGATTCATAACTTGAATCGAATTCCTATTGTTTTCACGTCTGAAACAACTAAATCACGAAATGTATTCAAACGGATTGAGTTGAGTTCCGGTAGATATGCTTTGACACCCATTTGTTCGGACCCCGAATTGGAGCTCATTTTGAGGGTTTTTACCAATAAGTCGACAAATTTGAAGTATTTTTTACACTCATTTTTAAAACACAGTTTTTATATTGTGTTTATATTTCCATTTAAAGGGTTCTGAGTCAAGACATGCCCCGAGAGAATCTGTTGCCCTTTGTTTCACCAAAATATCCCAAATTTGTGACAAGAATTACTATAATCAGTGCCAATATTCTGGAGCGACAGGACATTTTCGGATGTAATTATTTCGACTTAGATAACAGTTATTTCGGTAATTATTATTATTATTATTATTTATTGTATGCGTTTAGCGGCCAACCCTTACTGTGTATTCCGATGCGGTCGACAAGTCGTCAAATCGAGTCCAATCCACGAAACTCTAAACCCTGAGTGGGATTACTTCAGTGCTATCTTCTATCACAACAAATTTATATCGATTAATGTCGAGGTATTGTAGTATTTCTTACCTCCAGACAAGTCGTCAAATCGAGTCCAATCCACGAAACTCTAAACCCTGAGTGGGATTACTTCAGTGCTATCTTCTATCACAACAAATTTATATCGATTAATGTCGAGGTATTGTAGTATTTCTTACCTCCCATTTACACTTATCATTGACAATAATGTGCTCATTTACGGAACAGTTATGGCACCACAATCTCCTGATTGACTATTTCATGGGTCGGGTCGAAGTGTTGCCTAAAATCAATACAAACGCTGAGAATTTGACATCAATTCAAGAGTTGGAACTCTTTAGTCGTAAGAAAGAGAGGAAAGTGACGGGTTCTGTGAAACTCCAAGTCTTCACTTACGAAAATCTGCTACTTTTGTAACTCTATTCATGAGTACATAAACCTAACGTCAGAACAGTTATGAAGATCTGATTCCTCTTCAGTTCACTTTCCATTCACTTCTAAATGAGATCTCATTTTTGACGAAATATTGCATTTATTTGCATTTGAATTGTATTTTAATATAACTTTATTCAGATTTTATAAGATTTTATATTTACAGTAATATAAAATCATGAGAATATACAGTAATTTTTGATAATATACAGAATTATAAGCATTCCTTAATTGTGGTATAAATGTGTGAATTTTTATATAAATGACAGTATTTTTACACAGAATTAGTGCTAATATTCTTAAACCTAATTGCAATTATTTTTTGGATGTATTTAATATACATTTTAATAACTTAAGTACGAAATTTATAGTGATTTTTAATACGTATTTTAATAACTTAAAACTTATAAAGTTGTAAACGTAAAACCTTTTGTCCATTTTATAATTTATAACTTTTTAACTTTTTAATCACTTAATGTAAACGATATTTTTAATAATTTAAATAAAATTTATGTCTATTCAAATATTCAATACCAATCACATATTTATAATTCCTATATAAATGTGTGGAGAGAGTGAGTGAGTGAGTGAGTGAGTGAGTGAGTGAGTGAGTGAGAGAGAGAGAATAAGTAGTGTATTGAAAATAGCTGCAAGAATTGCATCATTTTGTTTGAACGGAATGTGTTTGAATGCATTGACCATAGAGTGAGCCGATTGTGTGGACCCTATGAAAGGCACACATTGACTGTGAGCTGAAGTTTACTCGCTGTTTATGTTCACGGTTTCATACATCGACTGAATTGAAATTGATTTAACTATAGTTACAGTATATTTGAGTCCATTATAAATAAGTGTGAAAAATGTCGTTAGATTTGGACGATTTGAACACATCCTCGATGGACAAAGACTTACAAGACTTTCTGGTGATAGAGCAGCAAAAGGCACACTTCCAACAACAGGTCGACACTTTTGCCACAATTAACTTGTTATTAGTCTCTATAATGGTGTGAATAATGACTGAACAGATCCACCGTTTGAATGAGATTTGTTGGGATAAGTGTGTGACGGATAAGCCGTCGTCCAAACTGGACTCTAGGACTGAGGGCTGTCTCAACAACTGTGTCGACCGTTTCATCGACGCCTCGCTGGCCATCACTCAACGGTTCGCTCAACTCATTCAGAAGCAGTCCATGAATTGATTGATCACTCGATCCATGCATTTATCACTATTTCATAGATTTATTGCAATTATATTAGAAATAAATGTTTATTTCATTTCTTTATAAAACAATTTTTAAATTACAATAAGTTTTCAATGAATTATCACTAAAATAGTCGCAAATAGTATATAAATTGTAACAAAAATGGATTAAAACAAGAGTTTTAGACGAGTTCTGCCCTCGAGTTGAGTGGCGATGACTTATCGACAATCACTTTGTTATTAGTATTCATTAAAATGGTCTCAAATTCGGGATCCAATGGATTGGATGGCGGAACGGATCTCAACGCCGTTAAGTTGACGAGAGT